ACTCGGTGTAGTCGGTGCCTTATTATTATTCATCTACGCTGGTACATTTTTCTTAGAGACAATAATAGAAATATAACATCATCAATGGAGATATGAAATATCTGGAGAAAAATTACATATCGTTTACATTTGTACAACAGAATAGCTTATAGAAGTAAATTTATACTTTTCATACTTGATAAAAATACATTGCAGAATATGCAAAATTCAGATCTCCCAAAGAATTTCAGTGTGCAGTAGTTTGCAGAAATGAGAGCAAATAAAAATATATGAGGAACTGTGTTGACTTTTTTGCTGGGCAACAATTGTACCCGCATCGTCATCCGACATACAAATCCAAAATGTAGAATACTGATCATAGTATGGCTGATGTCGACAGACTATCAGTGTGATAAATCAAATAAGGGAATGGTGAAGTTTAGGTGCAGTGTGTATGGAAATATATAACCCCGGCCGAAAATGATTTTTATTTGAAGAAAAAGAAGTTACTTTTGAAAAAGTAAACTTGTTCGTGTTTCGGCATATATTTCCACTGCATATATTTTCGACGGCGAAAAATGTTTGCCGAGGTCAAGTTGCTTACAATAAAATTAGCTTGTATTGCCACTGTATGGAATTGACAAAATAAATATATAATATAAATGATAAAATTTAGTGCTTCCATTTCTTTCACAAAGTTTTGAGCAATAAATTATATTGACCAATTTTTTTGTTTGCAAAGTGAAGTATAATTACTTTAAGGATCCATTTTTCATTTTCATTTTTTAGATAGCTTTATGTTTTGATTTGCGTGACCAACAGCATTCTTTAAGAAATTATGTATCATTTTTAAACATCTATCGGGATATAATATAAATACGGGTAGGGCACGAGATCAAATACCATAAAGCCCTTCGGGCTTTATGGTAAATTTGATATCGTACCAACACGTATTTATATCCCGATAGATGTTTAAAAATGATAAATTATTACTTATATTTACATTTATGACTTATTCATATTTTATATTTTCCTGATTATAATCTTTAACGCGTAAAATGTTTTATTTTTCAAACTCAACGGCACGTATATGATCCATTGATTGCGCTTCGACCCTTTATGACGTCACTGAGAAATTTCGTCGAACGTTTATGACGCGAGGAACCCGTGTATATACGGATATAGATACGCGTTGCTTTTAATAGTGTTATATTAAAGAAAACGTTTGCAAATGTAAATATTATTTCATAACATTTGCATTTTGACAAAACAGGAAATTAAATAACCCTTTCGTCTGACAGAAATAATCACGAACGCAAACTAAATATAAATGTAAAGGCCTTTATTTATAATTTCGCTCCTGATTAAAAATACGATAACAGAGTTATGATTATTAAAAAAATAGCATGATGCAAAATGTTTGAATATTTCTCCGGCTTAATCTTCCATATCATCTTCGGAAAAGAGTGTAGTTGTAATAGTCTGTAACAATTATATATAATGTCACCAAAAGATCACAAGTTGACTGGTTTTCATGATTGGAATTTACACAGATGCATATACAACTACATGTGGTTGATTAGAAAAAAAAAAATAATTAGAAAAAAATGAATTCATGTTCTGCGTAGGGAATAGTTCGTGTACAAATTACTGTATTAAGAAACCCCAGAGGAAAAAAGTTCCAAGAGGAAAGGATTCTGTCTGTCTGTCTCCCAGAAACATTTATCTTATGTTAAGTATGGTATTGTAAGCGGAGGAAGCTCAATAAAAATCTACATATGTTAGTGCTAAATATTGTGAGCTGCAATAACAGCGAATTGTATATGCCTCAAAATCGAACGTATGAAGACAGAAATAGGCCAAAACATTTTTATTATGAGCGTCGAGGACAAAATTAAATAGAAAAATATATACATCGTCCTTTCCCGTTTTGGATATAGTTCTGGCACCCTGTTTCCTTTATCCTGCAAAACACATCAATTGTTTTGCATTTAACCCATCTTTTTTAAGTAAAATCTCTGTTAAATTGCATCAATATGATTTAAATGACAAGAACTAATAATAATTACTAAATTCATCTGTTTACAACATTTGATTTTAAATTAAAAAAAGGCATTCACATTTATACACATGATGTAAACTGCATTACGTACAAAAATGCAGCTATATATTCAGGACTTTGGAACAATGCTAAAACAGTTAAACAGTATCATAGCCACATGTATGAGAAAAAGTTTACGAACTATGCACAGAATCACTATATTCATTTCATTGATATGATTAAGATAAAATAAGTTTGACGTTGAATTCATTCACGAAAGACAAGTTGGGAAGGAATAATCTTAAATTTCATTAAAACATGTATATTGATATCATGTTCAGTAGTTAAGCTAAAACTTGCACAGTAATGTTTATCAAATAGATATAAAATCACAGTGAGAAGCTTTTTCCTAAAATCTAATTTTTCTGTCCTAAAGGCAATTGTTAGTGGGTCAAGATCGAATATAAAGTAAAACACTTGTATCAAAGTAGCTGGTATCATATTTAAGTTCAAGTGCAATTGCTGTTTCATTGAACACTTCTTACATTCTAGACCGCCTAAATATGGCTTAAATATTGCCGACTCGGCGTAAAACAATAATAATCAATCAATCTTACATTCTAGAAGAAACTGAATTATGAAATATGAAGATAACGAACAGTATTCAATCTCGAAAGTCCAATGAAACGATACGAATTTGGAGAAGAGAAAACACGGACCTCAGTATATAGAGATGGGATCAGGTGCCATGGAGAAGAGAGCACCCCTGCCGACCGGTCACACCCGCCATGTGCTCCTTGTCATGATCGGGAAACAAAAACCGGAAAAATCCGTAGACAGTTCAGTGTATAAGTAATGGCCTAAAATTAGTATGAAAAACGTCAGTCAGCATTTGACTCAATGATAGGTTGTATGTGCTGACAAAATCATTGTATCGACCAAAAAACTTGCGAAAAGATGACTTCAAACGAAACTGTTGATAACCTTGTTTCGTCATCTTGTTTGTCAACAGCTTGCCTCGTTTTAAAAATTGCTTATATGTAGAGCATGCTCTTGCGTATCGAATCAACTGAGGGACATTAATCCCATATGCAGGTGATAAGGGTATATTGCTACATAAGACAACTATGTTATTTCCGCAGTTTTGAATACTGTAGACGCACTTTTACGGTGTGGGATTATTTTACGATACACGGTCACAAGTTTCTATGGAAACTTTTGACAGAATTCTTAAAGTGCAACTAAGACGTGCAATGACACTCTAAGAAGTCCGAATAAAATTCTACCAGCAAATTGAACACAAATTATAATTCCGCAGAATTATATTCCTTGGAACAAAGTACCTTTACAGTACCCCAAAAACATTTTTTTTTCACATAAAGTAACTTACTTTCTAACAGTTGTCGATTTGCTACAAATCATTTGTGCTGCTAGACCGAGACTTATTGAAAGTTAAAAAAAAGATGATGTGCCATACGGCCCCTGGTAAATTGACAAAAAAAATAAATAAATAAATAAATAAATAAATGAAATATCTAAATTTTACTCCAATTTTTACATCCACTTCATCACTAATATGTGCACCGTCATGGAATACTGCTTTTACCGAAAATAGAAACATGATTTGGAAGATGTTTATCTTTATTTTGAGTAGGGGTACCATGTTTACATCCAATTCCCATTAAATTTTGGCTCTTTGAAGCCCTTAAAATATACGAGCGCAAGTAGGTACATTTTTCTCCTTTGGATGGTCGCTGTATTTTATTGAAATCTACCTATATGTGAAAGGAGAAAATTGTACCCAACTGCGCTCAAATGTTGTATTTAAAACATTGTAAAATCTGGCTGGTCTTCCCCATTACGAACAGATCGACGAAGCAATTTTCCTGACGTAAGAAGAAATTCATATGCTAATCGAGGCATCGGCGAGACTCTCTAACCGACCAGTCAGCTAAATGAGTTGTATTACGAGTAAGTACTACAAAATGTCTAAGGAAACTTAATGCTTGGAAAAAAGGCATATTTTTTTTTTCTATCTAAAATTTCCGTGCTCATAATTACACACAATTTTTCTTTATGAATGTACATTGTATAATTTCATAATTTTGTAAAGCGTCGTTGGGCAATTGGCTACACGTATTCCCGAAAATCAGTGAATACACGTTTCATTGTGAATTTCTCGACCCAAAACGGTAAACACCGAGGTTCCATACGTATTATCATGTATAAAAAGCCTTTACTGGCCATTATAAGTTTGAAATTTAGTAGAGATAATGTGTGAATTGACCTAAGCCACGTGTTTGTGATAAAATGTAAACATCTAGTAAACCAGCATGTTTTGTCGTTCAGTCATTGGATTGGACAATTGTTCTCGGTAAGCGACAATGTGCGAAATAATGACAATGGCCATAAAAGGTAGATTCCTCGGACATGCATATCCCTCCATTGTAGGAAGACCCGCCTATCCTCTTTTCATAAAAGATCCTATTGTCATAAAACCAAGTCGAATTTCGTTCTCATGGGGTCTAAAAATCATAAATAATGCAGTAATCCTCATAATTAAAATGTGTTGGAACTATTGAAACTATTCCAAAGGCGTCGTATTTATTCACTTTTGTTTAAAAACTATCAAAATCATTGTAGAATAAATACAATTTTATGTCCCATAAAATGTTTTATATACAAGCTTTTTTACATTGTAATTGACATAGTTAACTTATAATGTACGGTAATTATTTGTATGTTGTATTAAGATCGGGTTCAGCTTGATCGGGATCGAATTCCCAATTATGAAATCCGGTGGAAACACGAGGTTGTGGTTATTTTAACTGAACTGAAGAATTGCTTCCTATACACATACATCTATATACATCTATATATCGAACAATTGAAATTTTGCTATATCTGTGATACCAGTAAAGGTACGTAAACAAATTAGAACATTTTGATTGTGCATTATTGACTGTGTCAAGCAGACGGCATGGAGGTAAGCGCTGGATATTCCAAACCGCGAACAGTAGTGCTGATAGGTCATTCGTTCATTAGGAGGCTCGGTGTATTAATAAACAATGAACGAGAATTCAATAATTTACGTCTACAGAAAGATAAATTTGAAGTGATAATTCGTGCCAGGGGCGGCCTCAGGACACACGAGCTGGCTAATTCAAGAGAGTTACTGGACTTTCAAGATATTCATACCGAGGGCGGTATCTGTTTCATTCAGATTGGCGGGAATGATTTATCAGATCCACGGTCAACACCAAACATCGTAGTTCGACAAATCATGGCACTGGCGCAGTTTTTGCTTCTAACCAAGAACTTTTCTTATGTAGTAATTGGACAATTGCTTCGTAGAAATCCATCAAAAGTAGGCAGTCAGTACAATTACAAAGTGATTGATACTAATAAACTCCTTCATGATCAGTGTCACTCCTCCACCAGCAATCTTATATTCTGGCACCACCGTGGTTTCTGGGACCCTGACATGAAATACTTGGCCCGTGATGGGGTTCACTTAAAAGACAGCAGCCATGACCACCGGTTCATGAACAAGTACCTACAAAGCATTAAAAGTGCTGTCCTCCATGCCTCCCATCTGATAGGACGGGAGAGGAATAAGGATAAGTAGAGTTACTAGTACATTGCACAAATGGTTATTAGATTAATATACATGTGATGAATTTTTCTGGCTATTTGTTTATATTATATAATGCAAGACAGTACTAGTGCTTGTAGTCTATGTAGGTATCCTTATTAGCAGGTCCTCTGCACATTATGTCAGCTGATTTTATAGCAATGCTGTCAGTGTCAGTATTGGTCAGATAGTTGGGGAATCACTAATGGATTCCTTTATAAATATAAATATTTATGTAAAGGCAACAAGTTTGTTATTTTTAACCTTCCTGACAATCTATTGAGGTTGTGGGAGGAATTGTTTATTTATTTAAAGTTGGTTGCCTATAATTATCATATATCAGTTGCAGCTAAGTTTGTTTATTTCTAGCTCATTTCTATCTGAAATGAGAATATACTTTTGAACTTTTATTTATCATGAGCTGCAATTAATGATAAATCTTACCTATGACTGACCTGTTCAGCTGACACTTAAAATGATACTGATATCTGATATCTTGGCAACAGTTTGTGTTGGCAATGAAGAGCTAACCCTTTTCACTTGATTAAGAAAAGATATTAGCATGTTGTTTCATATCAGATTGTGTTTATATTTGGGTGGCTAAAATTAGTAATATTATTATATTTTCATCATAATATGGAAATTACAACATGCTAGGACTCATTGTAGAATAAGATGCCACCAAAGAAAAGGAAAAATGTGGCAGACCCAAAGCCACCAAGAAAGAAGAGGTTGCATACTCAACATGCTGAAGCCCCTCCTGCACAGGAGGCTATAGGCGACTCTGTTGATGCCAATTCATCATCGACTTCAGTAAGCTGCCCCAACAACCCTTCAATCGACTACGATCAGCTGGCAGCAGCAATTCTTAAGCAACAGCAACAGGCTTTGACATCCAACAGTGCTTCCATGAATGCCAGTACCACTACACAGGCCCCTACCATTGCATCACAGGCTTCTACAGCTTCTTCTAGCGATTTGAATAATTCTAATTTTGTCAACACACTTCAGCAGTTGTTTTCAGGTGAGTCGGTGGCAGATACATTTAACATTAACAATTCACATTCTGTTCCATTATCAGTGGCCAATGGCATCCCCCTGGGCGCCAGTGTTCCAGTGCGCATAAAAAATAAAATTTGGAACGATCAATTCATTGACCTTAAATGTTTACTTCCAAATAGCAAAGATGAGAATATTTCAATTCAAATAGAAAATAATGCCATTCAGTTAAACCCACAGTCAACAAAACAGTCAATCATGTCTTTGCACCAATGGACATCAGCCTTTTTGATATTCATGTCAATATACACAGAGAAGTCACCCCAAGAGTATGCCAATCTGCTTAAATACTGTTTCACTGTTAGGGAGATTGGGAGTTCTAATGGGGATGGTGCCTGGAGATATTATGATGAAAATTTTAGAAAACTCCGGCAATCAAATAAGGTCCCTTGGCAACTCCCTATTACCGAATACATGGTCAAAGCCTGCACCCTCACTCGTTCGTTTCGCTCCTTTCCGTACACCTCAAACCGTTCAAAAGCAACACAGCGAGAGCGTGTGTGCTTCAACTACAACAATGGTACAAAATGTAAATACTCACCATGTTATTTCAAGCACATCTGCCAGACATGCAGTGAACAGCATCCCAGAATTAAATGTAACAAATCAGACCGAAGCAAATCTAACAGCAAACCAAACAATTCCAACAACAATAAAGCATGAAGTACTTTATCAAGAGTTGCAAGGTTACGACAAGGTTTTACTTGACTTTCTTGTCGATGGTTTTAAATATGGTTTTAAACTGGGTTGCACTGAGTTTCATTCAACCTCTGTTAAGAACAATCATTCATCCGTTAGTAAAAGTCCAATGGTAGTTAATAAAAAGTTGGATAAGGAATTAGGTTTCAATCGTATTTCAGGCCCTCATGCATTTAAACCTTTTGATAATCTTATTTGTTCACCATTAGGGCTAGTGCCTAAGAAACTGCCTGGAGAATTTAGAATCATACATGACCTATCCTTTCCAGAGGGTAATTCAGTAAATGAACACATTTCGCGAGAGAATGCAACTGTGCAATATGACTCGATTGAAAATGTAATACAGCTCATAAAGAAATTTGGGACAGGGGCACTTATGGCTAAGCTAGACATAGAGGACGGGTTTAGAAATATTCCAATCCACCCTTCAGACTATCATTTTTTAGGTTTTGTTTGGAACGATCAATATTATTTTGATAAATGTTTACCAATGGGTGCCAGTTCATCATGTCAGTTGTTTGAGAGGTTAAGTACAGCCTTGCAGTGGATTATGTTAAATAAATATCAGGCCTCTGGTATGTCCCATCTCATTGATGATTTTTTCTTCATTGGACCACCATCATCTCAAAAATGTCTCTTTGATGTCAGAAATTTTGAAAGCCTATGTCAGAGATTAGGGGTTCCTCTTAAGGAGTCAAAAACTGTCTTGCCAACAACTTGTTTGACTATATACGGAATAGAGGTAGATTCTGTTCTAATGGAAAGTAGATTACCTGAAGACAAACTAATCAATATGAGACAATTGCTGGCAAGGACAGTACGCAAGAGGAAAATACAATTAAGAGAAATGCAGTCTTTGATAGGATTACTTAATTTTGCTTGTCAAGTGGTCACACCTGGTCGTGCATTTTTGAGACGCTTAATAGATTTGACATGTCATGTTTCTAAACCAAATCAGTACATTAAATTAACTGCTGAGGAGCGTGCTGACATCAAAGCATGGCAACTCTTCATTGATCATTTTAATGGCAAGTCTATTTTTCATCAAGATGAGTGGTGTTCTTCACAGAAGTTACATATGTATACTGATGCATCTGGTAGTTTGGGTTATGCAGCTGTATATGGGTCAAAATGGTTTGTTCAACCTTGGCTAGATATCCATACAGACTATCATATTTCTGTTAAAGAGCTTTTTCCTATTGTTTTGCTGGTAGAAATTTGGGGTCCATATTTGAGCAATCAAAAAATTCTCTTTTTCACTGATAATATAGCAGTTGTTGAGGTTGTCAATAAACAGTCAAGCAGGGACAAAACTTTGATGAAGCTTATACGCCGTTTAGTTGTTGCTGCAATGAAATTTAACATTCTATTTAAAGCAAAACACATTCCAGGAAAGCAAAATATACTTGCAGATTACCTTTCCCGTTTTAAATTCCAGGAAGCCAAGAACTTTGCACCTTGGTTGGACCCCAAACCAACAACAGTCCCAGAACATTTGATTTACATCTAAGCCAATCAAGCAAGCAGCTACTCCAGGCATCACGGTCTCTATCTTCTAAGCAATTGTACCTCCGAAGCTGGAGCTTATTACAGAAATTTTGTGCTGATCACAGTTTGCCCTTTTCTCTTCCCTTTTCAGAAGGAATTATCTGCAATTTTATTGGGGATTTATTTACTCGGGGCTTAAGTCCATCCACTATCACCTCACATATTTCGGCTATTAGTTACGTTCATAAACTCTGTGACCTTCATGACCCCACCCACTCCTTTATAGTGAGAAAAGTTATCAAAGGAGCCCAGAACCTAGCAAGAACTGCTGATACCAGACTTCCAATCACAAAACCCATTCTTATCAAACTAATATCTGCTTTATATCACACTGTTCAGGAAGCAGACACAAGAGTCTTACTATCAGCAGTCTTTCTTCTTGCCTTTCATGCCTTTATGCGCTTAGGTGAACTAGTTCCTAGAAACAACACGTTCAACACCAAAGTAATTCAAAGACAAGACATCATGTTCAATGATGATAATTCAGTACAGATCACTCTGAGGTACTCCAAAATCATGAATGATAGACAGCCAGTAATAATTACTTTGACAGCCAATAACCTGAATTGTCGATTTTGTCCAGTTCAAGCCTTAAAATCATACATTGGTCAATATAAACACACATCTGGTCCTTTATTCACCTTCAAATCTGGTGATCCAGTTCCTCATAGTTTTGTGGCATCTCACTTGAAACATGCCATTAATTTTATAGGCTTGGACTCCTCACTTTACCTAGGTCATAGTTTTCGCATCGGTGCTGCTACAGAGGCAGCAAAGAATGGACTATCTGAAAATGTCATCCAACAACTTGGTCGTTGGCATTCTAATGCAAGTAGACGCTACATTAGAATAAATGCTTTCAAATTCTAAATTTTCAAACTTGGTCTTAAGGCTTGCAAAGTTAAATATTTCCCCTTATACATGTACTGCCACCGATTATCATAAATAGAGAAGTCAGCATATGGCTGTTCTCTATATTAAGAAGTAAGATTACAGAATGTATTTAGCTTCTGATGAAAACTTATGTTTGGTTCCTTTTTTTTTAATTAAATGTATAAATTAAGTCGTAGGTCAGCATATGGCTGCACAGATAATTTGTAAACCTCTTATAGTCATCAACTCAATATGATTCAGTTTGAATTTGAACTTGTATGAGGTCAGCATATGGCTGCTTATGTAAACTGTATTCTAGTCACTGATCTTTGCCAGTTTTGCGTTACTTAGACTGTGAGCTTGTGTTCATGAGGTCAGCATATGGCTGCTCATATCTTTTCTGGTCATGAGCTCCACATATTTTACTCATAAATTTTGCTTGTGTAGTTTGTGAGCTAATGTGCATGAGGTCAGCATATGGCTGCTCATATAAACTGTATTTTAGTCTTTAGCTCAACATAAGTTTGTTATTAAATATTATGTATGAGGTCAGAATATGACTGCTCGTATGTACTGTATTCTAGTCATAAGTTTTAGCAACCTTTGCTCTTTAATTTTGTTACATAGTCAGATAACTATATGCATGGGGTTACCATATATTTGCATATTTAGTCCATGCATGTACATGTTTAGTCATTGAGGTATGCAATGTTATGTTATTTGCATATGTTTGGTACAGGTGTTTGCACCAGTATGTGTACATTGTATTCATAAAAACAGGGTTATACATTTAAATCTTCTACAGCAATATTAAA